CTTCCCTGAAGAGATGGGTTTTCAGGGTGCGCCTGAAGGTGAGGAGGGTAGGTGACAGTCTGATGGATTGGGGTAGTGAGTTCCAGAGGATGGGGGAAATCCTGGAGAAGTCCTGCAGTTAGGCGTGGGAGGTGGAGACCAGGGAGCTAGAAAGTAGGAGGTCTTGTGAGGAGAGAAGATTACGGGTTGGGTGGTATTTGGGTATCAGGTCGGTGAGGTAGTTTGGGGCAGCGTTATGAATGGCTTTGTAGGTCGGGGTTAGTAATTTGAATTTAATACGCTGGGCAATCGGGAGCCAGTGGAGGGATTGGCAGAGGGGGGTGGCAGAAGCGGAGCGGTTGGTGAGGTGGATGAGTCTGGCCGCTGGGTTCAGGATAGACTGGAGTGGGGATAGCATTTGTTTGGGTAGGCCAGTGAGGAGGGAGTTGCAGTAGTCCAGGCGTGAGATGATGAGGGAGTGTACGAGTTGCTTAGTGGTGTCCGGGGTGAGGAATGTACGTATCTTGGAGATGTTGCGGACGTGGAGCCTGCATGAATTTGATAGTGATTGGACATGAGGTTGGAAGGAAAGGTTTGAGTCCAGGGTGACACCCAGGACTTTGGCGTGTGGGGTGGGATAGATGGTGGCGTTGCTAGTCGTGATGGAGAGGATTGGGGGGGGGCACGGGCTGGGGGAAAAAAAACTAGGAGCTCGGTTTTGGAAAGGTTTAGCTTGAGGAAATGGAGCGACATCCAGTCTGATATGTCATTTAGGAGGTGAGTGATGTGGGCGGAGAGTGAGGGGGTGAGGTGGGGGATGGAGAGGTAAATTTGTGTGTCGTCAGCATAGAGGTGATAGTTGAAGCCGTGGGAGTGTATGAGTTGGCCAAGGGAGGAGGTGTAGATGAGAAAAGAAGGGGTCCGAGGACAGAGCCTTGGGGGACTCCAACAGAGAGGGGGAGAGAGGAGGAGGTGGTACCGTTATAGGTAACACTGAAGGAGCGTTGGGATAGATAGGAGGAGAGCCAGGAGAGAGAGCAGAATCTCTGATGCCAAGGGAGTGTAGTTTAGTAAGGAGGAGGGGGTGGTCGACAGTGTCAAAGGCCGCGGAGAGGTCCAGGAGCAGGAGGACAGAGTAGTGGCCATTAGCTTTGGCGGTTAGCAGGTCGTTGGTGAGGTGAAGAGGGCGGTTTCGGTGGAGTGTAGGGAGGTTTCGGTGGAGTGTAGGGGACGGAAGCCAGACTGTAGTGGATCAAGGAGGTTGTTGTCAGTGAGGTGGGCGCTTAGGCGATTGTAGACTAAGCGCTCAAGGAGCTTGAAAGTGAATGGCAGCAGGGAGATGGGTCTAAGGTTGTTCAGGTCAGTGGGGTCAAGGGAGGGTTTTTTGAGTATGGGGGTTGATGTGCGCGTGCTTTAGGCGGGAGGGGAATGCACCAGTAGAGAGGGAGAGATTGAAGATGTGGGTGAGGGAGCGTAGGATGGAGGAGGAGGGTGACCGGAGGAGTTGTGTGGGGACAGGGTCAAGGGGGCAAGTGGTGAGGCGGGCTTCAGTGAAGACCTTAGTGACCTCCTCAGTGGTAGGGAGGCTGAAGGAGCGGAGTGTTGGGGAGGTTATAGTGTGCGGGACGTTAGGTGTGGTGGGGGGGCAGTGCGGTTGCGAGGTCAGAGGAGGGAGAGTTGAGGGGGTGATGGAGGGAGGGGGGCTAGGTGGAGAGGTAGATTGTGAATTGACAATGTCCTTACGGATTGCGTCAATCTTGTTTTGGAAATGATTGGCAATCTCATGGGTGGTGAGTGAGGTACTGAGTGAAGGTGGGGGGAAGGAGAGTAGGGAGTTGAAAGTGGAGAAGAGCCGGTGAGGACTGGTGGAGAGGGTGTTGATGAGAGTTATGAAATAGGCTTGCTTGGCGGTGTGGAGAGAGGAGGTGTAGGTGAGGAAGGTGGATTTGTAGCGGGAGAACGCTCGAGGAGATCTGGTTTTGCGCCATAATCGCTCCAGCGCACGACTGCGTCGTTTGAGACATTTTGTGTAGTCATTCTACCAGGGTTGAAGCGGTCAGGGTCTGGTGTTACGTGTGGTTAGGGGTGCCAGGGAGTCAAGGGCAGCTGACAGCGAGTCGTTGTACGCAGTAGTGGCCAGGTCAGGGCATAACAGAGGAAGGATGCTGTCATACAGACGGTCAGCTGCCGGGTGGAGAGGGGCCGGGTTCAGGTTGCGGAGGTTACGGCTGGTGATGGTTTGATGCTTTGGGGGGGGGGAGTTAGAGGAGGGGGAGATGGAGAACGTGAGGAGGTGGTGGTCAGAGAGAGGGAGGAAGGGGGGGTGTTAGTGAAGTTGCGGAGGGTACAGAGATGGGAGAAAACGAGGTCCAGGGTGTTCCATTGGTGTGGGTGGAGGACTGTGTGCACTGTGTGAGCACGAAAGAGGAGGTTAGGAGGAGGATTTGGGCTATAGAAATGAGCTTGTGCCTGGCAGTGGGGCGAAGATGGGGGAGACCCAGCAAAAATACAAGCAGTTCCTACAAGGGGTAGCGCTACATAAGTGAATAAAAAAGCTATGCCCACTTATATGGGGAGAGATGTGGGACTTCACTTACATCTCCTACCTGAGAGCACACCACCAATATATTTTTCTTCCATGTGGGAAGTGACAGTAGAGAGGTCTGTGTTGGTAAATGACACAGATCTCTCTGCTGACAGCGGGGATGTGCGGGCTTTTATCTCCCTGCAAAGCAGGGAGACAAAAACTGTCACATCCCTGAGTAAAACAGCACATATTGTACACATAGTTTTAGGCACACCATTAACTCGGGTACGGTCAGTAAAATTTTCTTCCAGCAGAGGTCCTAATTTCATGTTTGTGCTACAGCAGTCCTCATTTAGGCTAGGTTCACACTTATGCGGATTTCACTGGATTACTCAGTTTGCAGAAACGCACTACAGTCCATTTAACATGATTTCCTATGGATCTAGTTCACATCTGTGCGTTTTGAGATGGTGCATTTTTTTTTAAAGGGTCAGGGATTTTTCTTTTTCCTGCAGCAGATGGCGTTCTGCATGTAATAGACTTCAATGAAACAGCACTGAAATGCAATTATTGCTTTTTTTTATGTTTCATTTTGCTTTTTGGGCTTTGTGTGACTTTAAGCGGGTTGTTGAGAAGCGGGTGTCTGCCAGCGTCCTTCACAACTAGTAAACTACGTGGCCATTAGCCCCTTGCTGACCGCAGATAGCCAAATGACAGCTGCACTGCGGCCAGCCAGTTCTGGGTGGGCATCATATGATGTCCTTCCAGAATGCGAACTCCCGTGCACCCCCGAGGGCACGCACCCGGCGATCTCCGTGATTGCTGTGTTCTACGGACACCGCTGATCACGTGATGTGGTAAAAGGCCAATCACAGCGGCCTTTTACCACATGATCAGCCGTGTCCAATGACACGCTAATCACCGGCAAATGCAATTGCCAGTTCTTGGTTGCACTTTCCTGCGTACTGCGGAGAAACGGCAGTTGTCAGAGCAGGGATCGGCACCGATCATCAGGCCATTGATGATCGGTGCCCTGATGATCGGTACCCAGCAGTGCTACCCAACTGTGCCCAACTGTGCCCAGCAGTGCTGCTAGTCAGTGCCCAGCAGTGCCACCAGTCAGTGCCCAGCAGTGCCACCAGTCAGTGCCGCCTATCAGTGCCAAGCAGTTGCGCCAGTCAGTGCCGCCTATCAGTGCCAACTATCAGTACCCATCATCTGTGTCAGCTCATCAGTGTCACCTATTAGTGCCGCCTATCTGTGCCGCCTCATTAGTGCCGCCCATCAGTGCTGCCTATCAGTGCCCATCAGTACTGCCTATAAGTGCCCATCAGTGCTGCCTATCAGTGCCCATCAGTGCTGCCTATCAGTGCCCATCAGTACTGCCTATCAGTGCCCATCAGTGCTGCCTATCAGTGCAGCTTCATCAATGCACATTAGTGAAGGAGAAAAATTACTTCTTTGCAAAATTTTATAATAGAAACAAAGAAACTTTTTGTTTCAACATTTTTGCTCTTTTTTTTATTTATAGCACAAAACGTAAAACACCCAGCGGGGGGTAAATACCACCAAAAGAAAGCCAAAAATTATAAAAATTTCATATGGGTATAATGTTGCATGACTGTGCAATTGTCATTCGAAGTGCAACAGCGCTGAAAGGGGAACATTGGCCTGGTAAGGAAGGGGGTATAAGTGTCCGGTATGCGAGGGGTTAAGGAGCGAGCAGCCGCTGCGTCCTTAACGACTTCCTGACCGCCCTATAGCAGAACTACTGCTGCATGGCTGCGCAACATCACGTGTATATATATATATATACGTGATTTTTATATATCCAACCATTGGCGGCTACAGCTGTCAATCACCGGGTCCCAGCCAGAGATTCCCCGCCGGCACCCGGCTATCGCCGAGGAACACTGACAGGGGAGAGGTCTGTATGTAAACAACACAGGTCTCTCTCCTGCCAGCAAGGACATGCTGCTTTGTATCTCTGCACAGCATGTCTCCCAACACCCAGCACACAGGTAACCCTTTGATGGCCCCAGATGTTAACCCCTTCCTGCCCAGTGCCATTAGTACATTTTCTTAGCACTGATCACTTTATTATTTTTATTTTATTTATTAGTATTTTTTATTGTATGTTTTATAGCAAAAAGTAAAAAAAAAGATATTGTTTCTTTCTCAAAATGTTTGGTCTTTTTTTATTTATAGCACAAAAATTAAAAACACCCCAGTAGTGATCAAATACCACCAAAAAGAAAGCTCTATTTGTGTGATAAAAATGGTATTAATTTTATTTGGATACAGTGTTGTATGACCGCGCAGTTGTCAGCGCAGCACCTCCCATGAAGGGGGGGGGGGGGGGGATCTTCTACAGGGCAAGTGGTTAAACGTCAGTGTACAGGCACCCTAAAGGTCCACTTGATACATTGTTGGTTTGAGGTTTCTTTAGTTATAACCATTTTTACTTTACTTTCGGTACAGCCCTATAATATATATTTACACACACTATATTGCCAAAAGTATTGGCCCCGCCCTCCCAATCGTGATTCAGGTGTTCAAATCCCCTCCATATCATGTGATTCAGGTCTTCCAATCCCCTCCATATCATGTGATTCAGGTGTTCCAATCCCCTCCCAATCTCATGTGATTCAGGTGTTCCAATCCCCTCCATATCATGTGATTCAGGTGTTCCAATCCTCTCCATATCATGTGATTCAGGTGTTCCAATCCCCTCCCAATCGTGATTCAGGTGTTCAAATCCCCTCCATATCATGTGATTCAGGTGTTCCAATCCCCTCCATATCATGTGATTCAGGTGTTCCAATCTCCTCCCAATCATGTGATTCAGGTGTTTCAATCCCCTCCATGTCATGTGATTCAGGTGTTCCAATACCCTCCATATCATGTGATTCAGGTGTTCCAATCCCCTCCATATCATGTGATTCAGGTGTTCCAATCCCCTCCATATCATGTGATTCAGGTGTTCCAATCCCCTCCCAATCATGTGATTCAGGTGTTCCAATCCCCTCCCAATCATGTGATTCAGGTGCTCCAATCCCCTCCATATCATGTGATTCAGGTGCTCCAATCCCCTCCATATCATGTGATTCAGGTGTTCCAATCCCCTCCATAACATGTGATTCAGGTGTTCCAATCCCTCCATATCATGTGATTCAGGTGTTCCAATCTCCTCCATAACATGTGATTCAGGTGTTCCAATCCTCTCCATATCATGTGATTCAGGTGTTCCAATCCCCTCCCAATCATGTGATTCAGGTGTTCCAATCCCCTCCATGGACACAGGTGTATACAATCAAGCCCCTAGGCATGCAGACGCTTCTACAAACATTGGTGAAAGAATGGGTCGCTCTCAGGAGCTCAGTGACTCCAAGCGTGGTCCCGTGATAGGTGGCCACCTGGGCAATAAGTCCATCCGTGACATTTCCTGGCTACTAAATATTCCACGCTCAACTGTTAGTGGGATTATAACAAAGTGGAAGCAACTGGGAACAACAGCCACTCAGCCACCAAGTGGTAGGCCACGTCACATGACAGGGCGGGGTCAGCGCATGCTGAAGCACACAGTGCGCAGAAGTCACCAACTGTCTGCAGAGTCAATAGCTAAAGACCTCCAAACTTGGTGTGGCCTTCAGATGAGCCCAACAACAGTGTGTAGAGAGCTTCATGGAATGGGTTTCCATGGCCGAGCAGCTGCATCCAAGCCTTCCATCACAAAGTGCAATGTAAAGTGTTGGATGCTGTGGTGTAAAGCACGCCGCCACTGGACTCTAGAGCAGGGGGGAGACGTGTTCTCTGGAGAGACCAATCACGCTTCCCTTTCTGGCAATCCAATTGACATGTCTGGGTTTGGAGGAGGCCAGGAGAATGGTACTTGCCTGACTGCATTGTGCCAAGTGTAAAGTTTGGTGGAGGGGGGATTATGGTGTGGGAGTGTTTTTCAGGGGTTGGGCTTGGCCCCCTAGTTCCAGTGAAGGGAACACTTAAGGTGACATTTTGGACAATTTCATGCTCCCAACTTTGTGGGAAGAGTTTGGGGATGGCCCCTTCCTGTTCCAACATGACTGCCCCCCAGTGCACAAAGCAAGGTCCATAAAGACATGGAGGAGCCAGTTTGGGGTGGAGGAACTTGACTGTCCTGCACAGAGTCCTGACCTCAACCCCATAGAACACCTTTGGGATGAATTAGAGCGGAGACTGCGAGCCAGGCCTCCTCCCCCGACATCAGTGCCTGACCTGACAAATGTGCTTCTGGAAGAATGGTCCAACCTTCCCATAGACACCCTCCTAAACCTTGTGGGGGCCTTCCCAGAAGAGTTGAAGCTGTTATAGTTGCAAAGGGCGGGGCCAACTCAATATTGAACCCTACGGACTAAGACTGGGGGGCCATTAAAGGTCATGTGCGTGGGAAGGGTGGGGCCAACTCAATATTGAACCCTATGGACTAAGACTGGGGGGCCATTAAAGGTCATGTGCGTGGAAAGGGCGGGGCCAACTCAATATTGAACCCTACGGACTAAGACTGGGGGGGCCATTAAAGGTCATGTGCGTGGAAAGGGCGGGGCCAACTCAATATTGAACCCTACGGAGTAAGACTGGGGGACCATTAAAGGTTATGTGCGTGGAAAGGGCGGGGCCAACTCAATATCGAACCCTACGGACTAAGACTGGGGGGCCATTAAAGGTCATGTGCGTGGAAAGGGCGGGGCCAACTCAATATTGAACCCTACGGAGTAAGACTGGGGGACCATTAAAGGTTATGTGCGTGGAAAGGGCGGGGCCAACTCAATATCGAACCCTACGGACTAAGACTGGGGGGCCATTAAAGGTCATGTGCGTGGAAAGGGCGGGGCCAACTCAATATTGAACCCTACGGAGTAAGACTGGGGGACCATTAAAGGTTATGTGCGTGGAAAGGCCGGCCGACCAATACTTGGGGCAATATAGTGTATATAGACCCAAGGTACCGAGAGAAGGAAGTCTGTATTGGAAAAAAAAAAACCTCCCGATGCAAACAAATAACTATTACTAGCTGCTGTTCCAACCTGATATTGTTAGTTTGTTACATTGAAAATAATATTCAAAGCAGAACATAGGAAACCAAAAACTAGACTTTATAAAAAACAAAAATATAAGCAGCGCGAAACAATACCTTTTAAATATAAAGTAATATTATAGTGTCCAAAAAGAATATTATAATATAATATATCAATGTTACTGCTTTCTATCTAACTGGTAGTCAGTTGGAGTGTAGGCTAAGAAGAATTCCTCCTTTGTTTAATTATTTTTCATTTTTATTTATTTTCTATTTTTATTTTTTATTTTTATTTTTACATTGTTTTCATTTTCATTTTTTCTATATATTTTTTTTAATAAGGGGGAAAGGGGGGTCCTTTTGAGAAGCCCGTGGGGGGGGAAAAAGCTGATATTTGGCTGTGTTTTGGAACCCAGAAGGGGCGTTCCAAGGGGCTCTTGGTTTTTCCCTAGTCTCCTCTCTTTTGGACCTTTTTTTAGCGATCGGGGTTTTTTTCTACTTGGTTGGGGTTTTTAAAATTTTTTTTTTTATTTAATCTGGATTTGTGGTCCTGGTTTGGGGGGTTATTTTTTTTCTTTTTAGAGGATGGGATTAAAAATTTGGGGGGAATTTTTAAAATTTTTAAAAAAAATTGATTTGACCAAAAATTTTTTTGCAAATGGATGCCAAATTTAAATTTTTCCCCCGATCACCGGAAAATTTGTATTCGGGGCCCCGGTTTTTTATTTTCCCGACAGCCCAAATTAAGGGAAAAATTTTGATTTTTTTTTCCCTTTTGGTCGTTTTTTTTAAAAAATTTTGTAAGGGTTAAGGAAAATTGGGCTGTGTTCAAAAATGGGGAGTCTTGGTTTTTTTTGTTTTGGGTTTTTTTTTTTCCCTTTTTCCATTCTTTTCCCTTTTTTTTTTTTTTTTTCCCCCCTTTTTTTTTTCCCCCTTTTTTTTTCCCTTTTTTTTTTTTTTTTCCCTTTTTCCCAAATTTTTTTTCCCCTTTTTTTTCCCTTTTTTTTTTTTTTTTTAATTTTTTTTTTTTTTTTTAATTTTTTTTTTTTTTTTTTTTTTTTTTTTTTTTAATTTTTTTTTTTTTTTAAAACCCCTTTTATTTTTTTTTTTTTTTTTTTTTCCCCTTTTTTTTTTTTTTCCCTTTTTTTTTTTTTTTTTTTTTTTTACCCCCTTTTTTTTTTTTTTTTTTTTTTTCCCCCATTTTTTAAAATTTTTTTTTTTTATTTTTTTTAAAACCCCTTTTTTTTCCCCTTTTTTTTTAAATTTTTTTTTTGCCCTTTTTTTTTATTTTTTTCCCCTTTTTCCTTTTTTTTTTTTTCCCCTTTTTTTAATTTTTTTTTTTAAATTTTCTTTATTTTTTCCCCTTTTTTTTTATTTTTCTCACTTCTTTTTTTTTTCCCTTTTTTCCCTTTTTTTTTCCCTTTTTTTCTTTTTTTTTTTCCTTTTTTTTTTTTCCTTTTTTTCCCCCTTTTCTTCTTCTTCTTCTTTTCCCCTTTTTTTCTTCTTTTATCCCCTTTTTCCCCCTTTGGGCCCGGCCCGAATTTCCCCATGGGCCCCCCCGCCCCCTTTTTTAAAGGGAAAATTTTAACCCTTTAAAACCCCCGCTGCCCAGGCCAAGTGTGTCGGGCCCCTGTACCCCCCCATTGTGCTTGTCTCTATCGCCACCCTGCCATTGCCATTTGGCTCCTCACACTGCTGGGGTTCCTTTTTCATAGGGTCTGTATGGCCTCCCATTGCTGCTGCCCCCCCCAAACCTGTGGCTCCACCCCTTTTTTGGGGGGGGAAATTGGGAATGTGGGGTGGATTCAAAGAGGGAGGTCATCTGCATGTCATACTGACTGACAGTAATTTTTTTCTCTTCCCCAGGCGACTCCAAGGGCATTTAAATTAAAGGTACGTGTTCTGCACTAAAATTAAGGTCTTGAAGCCCAGAAACCCTTTTAATAAATTTAAATTCGCAGCGAATAAATTTGCATCGAACGAAATTTTTCCCGCAAATTCGGCAATCGCCGAAACGAATTTTTGAATAATTGCTCATCTTAGTCATTAGCAATAGTACACTGTGATTGCAATATATTTCCTTTGGCACATCGGTGGAGATGGTTTGGAGTGATGTAACAAGGAGGGGGTGGGAAGGATTCATCATAGCTCTGCATGGTGGAATGGAGGTCTGGAGGCTATAGAGGGGGTGTAGGATCCTTGAAAGTCCTAAAGGCCGACTATATCGCCAATATCCGGTGAGTGCGGTTTATGTCGGTTTTGCACTGGTGAATGGTGGAAGCACATATCACAGAAGAAATGTAGTAAAGGATATTTTAGTGAGCGCGACCTTAAAAACAAAAATGAAAGTATATACATATATATACACAACAATGTTAATAAGCTGCTGATACAACGAGAAAAGGTAACCAAGAAAAACCTCCAATAATACATGTATATCCAATAAAATGGTGCAGCGCTAAGTGATGATACGCGATTATTACACACAATAATATGACTATTTCAAAACTTATGCGAATACGTGATATCACTCTGAAGGTGATCATAAACCATTTAGCCGCCCGGCCAATGGCCGTTTGGCGGCTTGAAAAAGCGCTGCAAGCTTTTCCGGGTGCACGCCATTTGGCGTGCTCCCGCACATGCGCGGTTTGCGCGGTTTGCAGAGCGACGCAGCAGTGCGATCTGTCAAACCGCCCGTGCACCTCGGACACGGCCGATGACAGATCCGAGTACCCTACCGCCGCTCCTGTTGCCGCTACCGTGTGACCTGCTGTGACCAATCACAGCAGGTCTACTTGACAGGTTGTATACAATGGATGGCTTCATTCAATGATGCCATCGCATTGTATACTAGTGCCTAGCTGTGAATGGTCACAGCTAATCACATGCACATGTCATATGTGATTAGCTGTGACCAAATCACACAGCTAAGCACAAAAAAAAAAAAAAAAAAAAAAAAAAGCTGAATGAATCGATTTCATTCAGGTAAATGCTTGCTTATAGGAAAGTAATTCTTTGCTATATAAGCAAATTGTGTAAAAAAAAAAAAAAAAAAATTACTGATCACTTCCCCAAAGTAGTACAGTGTTACTATGGTAACATTGTACCTATTTTGGTCATAGTAAAATCATGAAAAAAATCTTAAAAAAAATAAAAAAAAATGTAATAAAAAATTAAATATAAAAAAAAAAAAATATATATATATATATATATACCGTATATATATATTATATTTTTTTTTCATTTACTGTCACCAGTCAGTGTCGCTGTTCACCGCCAATGCCAGTTATATGATGTACGCTGTACTGCACTGGTGACAGGATGTAAAAAAAATAAAATAGTGAAAATAATTTTTTTAATTTTTTCATTTTCCGAAAAATTATGACAAAAAAAATACAACTTCAAAAAACTCGCCATTCCTCTTATGAAGTACGTCGGACTGATGTCTACTCTGCAAAAAGGGGGTCCATTTGGGGGATATCTGTACTGTCCTGACATTTGGGGGATATCTGTCCTGTCCTGACATTTGGGGGATATCTGTACCGTCCTGACATTTGGGGGATATCTGTACTGTCCTGACATTTGGGGGAAATTGTCCTGTCCCTGACATTTGGGGGATATCTGTACCGTCCTGACATTTGGGGGATATCTGTACCCGTCCTGACATTTGGGGGTATATCTGTACTGTCCTGACATTTTGGGGGATATCTGTTACCTGTATCTCATGTAAGTCCTGACATTTGGGGGATATCTGTACTGTTTCTGACATTTGGGGGATATCTGTACTGTCCTGACATTTGGGGATATCTGTACCGTTCTTGACATTTGGGGGATATCTGTACTGTCCTGACATTTGGGGGATTATCTGTACTGTTCTGACATTTGGGGGGATATCTGTACTGTTATCTGACATTTGGGGGATATCTGTACTTTCTGACATTTGGGGATATCTGTACTGTTCTGACATTTGGGGGATATCTGTACCGTTCTGACATTTGGGGGATATCTGTACTGTTCTGACATTTTGGGGATTATCTGTACTGTCCTGACATTTGGGGGATACTGTACTGTCCTGACATTTGGGGGATATCTGTACTGTCTGACATTTGGGGGATATCTGTACTGATTCCTGACATTTGGGGGATATCTGTACTGTATTCTGACATTTGGGGGATATCTGTACTGTCCTGACATTTGGGGGATATCTGTACTATTCTGACATTCTTGGACCTCAAGATATTAGATTGGCTGTCAGTACTTCAGGATTGATCAATATTCAGATCTATCCCAATAGTTTGTGAACTCTATAACTTTCCTACAAACTAAAAAATACATCCTAATTTGGGGTATTTTCACCACAAGACATGGAGCAGAATACATCTCGGCCTAAATTTATGAAGAACAATTATTTATTTGTAAACTTTTATAACAGAAACAAAGAAAAATGTGTTTTTTTTTTCAAAATGTTTGGTCTTTTTTTGTTAATTTAGCAAAAAATAAAAAAACCCAGCGGTGATTAAATACCACCAAAAGAAAGCTCTAGTTGTGTGAAGAAAATGATCAAATTTTAGTTTGGGTACAATGTTGTATGACCGCGCAATTGTCATTCAAAGTGTGAGAGCACTGAAACCTGAAAACTGACCTGGGTAGGAAGGGGTAAAATTGCACGGTATTGAAACGGTTAAATATTTAAATTAGTTCAATGCGATGATGTGGATCATATAGAGATCACAATTCCAGGTGCCGTTATCCCTATGACTACGTGCATCGCACGAAACGCGTCAGAGAGGGGGCTGCAGCAACAGGACATCTAACCGCCGCAGGTGGACACCTTGGAATTTATGTGCCCATTTGGAGGAAAATATGACCCTGGTGGTGATACCTGGTAGCCGATCCTGGTGACCTTTTTTCTGTGGAGCTGGATGGTGATCCGTGGGATAACCCGACCCGAGATCTGACGATCTGACGGGACCGATCTATGGCCTTGGTGACGCCGGATTATTTATTGCGTATCTTAAACGCACATCTGGTGAGTGCGTTTTTTCACACCATTTGTGTGGTTTGCACCAATTATCACTCCCGATCAGGACGTCCACTCACCTGGAATTGTGATCTCTATATGATCCACATCATCGCATTGAACTAATTTAAATATTTAATGATCACCTTCAGAGTGATATCACGTATTTGCATAAGTTTGAAATAGCACATTATTGTGTGTAATAATCGCGTTATTATCACTTGCGCTGCACCATATTTTATCTGGATATACATATCACAGAAGAATATTTCTATGTTCCAGCACTGTGGAGTTCGGGAGGAAGGATTTTGAATACCGTATTTTTTCGCTCCATAAGACGCACCTAGGTTTTAGAGGGGGAAAAAAACAGGAAAAAAAAAAATATTCTGAACCAATGGACTGCAGACACAGTACAGGAGATGGCCAGAGACTGCGGACACAGTACAGGGGGAATGACCCCGAGAGACTGCGGACTACAGTTACAGGAGATGACCAGAGACTGCGGACACACAGTACAGGAGATGACCAGAGACTGCGGACACAGTACAGGAGATGACCAGAGACTGCGGACACAGTACAGGGATGACCAGAGAACTGCGGACATAGTACAGGAGATGACCAGAGACTGCGGACATAGTACAGGAGATGACCAGAGACTGCGGACATACAAAGAGATACAGGACTGCGGACATACCTAGATGACCAGAGACTGCGGACACACTACAGGAGATGACCAGAGACTGCGGACATAGTACAGGAGATGACCAGAGACTGCGGACACAGTACAGGAGATGACCAGAGACTGCGGACACAGTACAGGAGATGACCAGAGACATGCGGACACAGTACAGGAGATGACCAGAGACTGCGGACACAGTACAGGAGATGACCAGAGACTGCGGACACAGTACAGGAGATGACCAGAGACTGCGGACACAGTACAGGAGATGACCAGAGACTGCGGACACAGTACAGGAGATGACCAGAGACTGCGGACTCACACAGTACAGGAGATGACCAGAGACTGCGGACACAGTACAGGAGATGACCAGAGACTGCAGACACAGTACAGGAGATGACCAGAGACTGCGGACACAGTAACAGGAGATGACCAGAGACTGCAGGACATAGTACAGGAGATGACCAGAGACTGCTCGTCGCAAGAGACATGCAGACAGGAGGATGACCAGAGACTGCGGACACAGTACAGGGGATGACCAGAGAGACTGCAGACAAGTACAGGAGATGACCAGAGACTGCAGACACAGTACAGGAGATGACCAGAGACTGCAGGACACAGTTACAGGAGATGACCAGAGACTGCAGACAGTACAGGAGATGACCAGAGACTGCGGACATAGTACAGGAGATGACCAGAGACTGCAGGACACAGTACAGGAGTGACCAGAGACTGCGGACACAGTACAGGAGATGACCAGAGACTGCGGACAGTACAGGAGATGACCAGAGACTGCGGACACAGTACAGGAGATGACCAGAGACTGCGGACACAGTACAGGAGATGACCAGAGACTGCAGACACAGTACAGGAGATGACCAGAGACTGCGGACACAGTACAGGAGATGACCAGAGACTGCAGACACAGTACAGGAGATGACCAGAGACTGCAGACACAGTACAGGAGATGACCAGAGACTGCGGACACAGTACAGGAGATGACCAGAGACTGCAGACACAGTACAGGAGAATTGGGGACCAGAGACTGCTGGACATAGTACAGGAGATGACCAGAGACTGCAGACATAGTACAGGAGATGACCAGAGACTGCAGGACATAGTACAGGAGATGACCAGAGACTGCAGACACAGTACAGGAGATGACCAGAGACTGCAGACACACAGTACAGGGGATGACCAGAGACTGCAGACACAGTACAGGGTTGTCAGAGACCAGAGACTGCAGACACAGTTACAGGAGATGGCCAGAGACTGCGGACACAGTACAGGAGATGACCAGAGACTGCAGACACAGTACAGGAGATGACCAGAGACTGCAGACACAGTACAGGGAGATGACCAGAGACTGCAGACATAGTTACAGGAGATGGCCAGAGACTGCAGACACAGTACAGGGAGATGACCAGAGACTGCAGACACAGTACAGGGGATGACCAGAGACTGCAGGACACAGTACAGGAGATGACCAGAGACTGCGCAGAACACAGTACAGGAGATGACCAGAGACTGCGGACACAGTACAGGAGATGACCAGAGAGACACAGTTCCGGAGGATGGATGACAGAGACTGCGGGATTAGACACAGTACAAGGGGGATGACAGAGACTGCGGACATAGTACAGGAGATGGCCAGAGACTGCGGACACAGTAACAGGAGATGACCAGAGACTGCAGACATAGTACAGGAGATGACCAGAGACTGCGGACACAGTACAGGAGATGACCAGAGACTGCGGACACAGCAGGAGATGACCAGAGACTGACGGACACAGTACAGGAGATGACCAGAGACTGCAGACATAGTACAGGGGATGACCAGAGACTGCGGTACAGGGGTATGACCCAGAGACTGCGGACATAGTACAGTGAAGCCAGGACTGCGGACACAGTACAGGGGATGACCAGAGACTGCGGACACAGTACAGGAGATGACCAGAGACTGCAGACATAGTACAGGGATATGACCGGAGACTGCGGACAGTGCAGGGAATGAACAGAGACTGCAGACAGTGCAGGGAATGAACAGAGACTGCTGACCTTTGGAGAGAGGGGGGGGAGCGGGTACCTGAATTTGACAGGTACCGCTCCCACTTCCGCGGAGTTGTCCTTCCTTCCTTCTTCCCGGGCCGGCTTCTGTGACAGCCGGGTGCCCACTGCGCTGGATGCGCGAGAAGCGCTGCGCTTTGTGAATGGCCCGGCGCCTTCGGGGCTGTCATGTGTCCCATAAGACACCGGATCATTCACAAAACGCAGCGCATGCGCAGTGGGCACCCGGCTGTCACAGAAGCCAGCATGGGAAGACTGTGCACCGCTGGAAGCGAGGAACAGGTAAGGCCCTGCAGGAGAGAAGAGCTGAGCGGCCGGCCCGGTATTCTGACATGGTGGCGGCAACAAATACCGGACCGGCCGCTTTATATCGCTCCATAAGACGCACTGACATTTTCCCCCCTTTTTTGGGGGAAAAAAAGTGCGTCTTATGGAGCGAAAAAATACGGTTATATAATAAATATTGTTTGAGTTATTAAGGACACATTTATTTATCGTATTTTTTGAGTTATTATGGACACATTTCATTTATTTATATATTATAATAATCTTTTTGGACACTATAATATTACTTACTTATATTTATTAGGTATTGTTTTGCGCTGTTTATATTTTTGTTTTTTATTTGGTGTTTTACACTGGTGTACGGCAGCATTTCATACCCGCTTGGAGATTATTCTGTGGCGCAGGAGTGTATTCATTTTTGGTCAAAAACTAGACTTTATTAAAATATATAAAGAAAGCGCCAATCAACAATATCAATCCTCCCCAGCAGCAAACCTTCAATCCAAAATATTGGTGAAATAGAAAATCAGCAATTGGAGATGCGCAAAATATATCAAAATTAATATCACAAATACGTGTATAAAAGTCCCAGCATTTTAAATGCAAAAAAGTCTCCAGTGAAAAATAATCCATAAAATTTTGTGTATATATAGTGTATAGAAAAAATGTCCAACACCCCCAAACAGAAAATTTTCTTCTTTAAACATATAATTCCACCGTGCTTTATCCACCACCAAATGAATGGAATAAACTCACCAGAGCTCAATGCTGATTAGATTATAAATCAGCACAAGCGCGTTTGCTCTGGGAGCGATGAGTAAGTAGATCATGAAGCAGCGCTCTATAGTATAGACCAGCAATGGGCAAACTACGGCCCGGCGGACCTTTTAATCCGGCCCGCGGAGCTAGGCTCCCGCAAGGCCAGTGGTCGGCAAGCCGCGGCTCTTTACAATAGATGCGGCTCTCCTGTGTGCCGGGCGCCCGCTCCCCTCCCTCCTCTCGGGCGGGCGGGCGACCTCCTCTCCTCCTCTCCCCTCCCCTCCTCTCGGATGGCCGCCCCCCCTCTAGGATGGCCGCCCCCTCCCTCCTCTCGGGCGTCAGGACTCTGCAGCTGTCAGGATGTAGGCGGGGCAGCCAGGATGTAGGCGGGGGCAGCGTGACGAACTCTTCTCTCACAGTCCTCCCTGAAGACCAGAACGGCGCGGGAATACGAGAGGAACGCGCGGAGGAGCAAAGGTAAGTGAATTGACACAGGGGGGGCTTACTATATGGGGAATGAATTACTATATGGAGGACTTACTATATGGGGGATGAATTACTATATGGGGGACTTACTATATGGGGAATGAATTACTATATGGGGGACTTACTATATGGGGAATGAATTACTATATGGGGGGGGGGATGAATTACTATATGGGGGACTTACTATATGGGGAATGAATTACTATATGGGGGACTTACTATATGGGGGTTGAATTACTATATGGGGGGGACTTACTATATGGGGAATGAATTACTATATGGGGGACTTACTATATGGGGAATGAATTGCTAATGGGGGAATTACTATATGGGGGACTTACTATATGGGGAATGAATTACTATATGGGGGACTTACTATATGGGGAATGAATTACTATATGGGGGATGAACTAATATGGGGAATGAATTACTATATGGGGGATGACTTACTATATGGGGGAATGAATTACTATGTGGGGGATGAATGGGGGACTTATGTGGGGGATGAATTACTATGGGGGATGAATTAATATGGGGGATGAATAATATGGGGGATGAATTACTATGTGGGGGATGAATTACTATGGGGGATGAATTACTATGGGGGATGAATTACTATATGGGGGATGAATTACTATATGGGGGATGAATTACTATATGGGGGATGAATTACTATAAAGGGGGATGAATTACTATATGGGGGACGAATTACTATATGGGGGACGAATTACTATATGGGGGATGAATTACTATATGGGGGATGAATTACTATGGGAGATGAATTACTATATGGGGGATTAATTACTATGCTTACTATGGGGGAATATTACTATACTTACTATGGATGACACATACACATCATTCATCTACTCTTGGTCCGGCCCCCGGGTCCAATATATGAACCCATTGCGGCCCTCAAGTCAAAAAGTTTGCCCACCCCTGGTATAGACACTTCCAGACAGCAGGAATAATACTCTGCAGTGACTTTGAGGTATAGCCAAGACTCCTTATAAAACGATCATCCTCCAAATGTATAGTAATATCACTCAAAAATAAAGAAAAGGCATGATGGTGCAGCAAGTAAGAACCATTAAAACTTTTATTACAATTGCATCCTACTCACAAAATAAAGTGTCCACCTGACACTGGTATAACAAGCGATCAGATATACGGAATGAACGAGCCCCGTTCACTGAGGCGGAGCCTATTGGATGACGTCAGGACGTTCCCTGGAGCTGTCGGCGAGGCGTCCGCAGTGAACGGGGCTCGTTCATTCCGTATATCTGATCGCTTGTTATACCAGTGTCAGGTGGACACTTTATTTTGTGAGTAGGATGCAATTGTAATAAAAGTTTTAATGGTTCTTACTTGCTGCACCATCATGCCTTTTCTTTATTTTTGAGTGATATTACTATACATTTGGAGGATGATCGTTTTATAAGGAGTCTTGGCTATACCTCAAAGTCACTGCAGAGTATTATTCCTGCTGTCTGGAAGTGTCTATACTATAGAGCGCTGCTTCATGATCTACTTACTCATCGCTCCCAGAGCAAACGCGCTTGTGCTGATTTATAATCTAATCAGCATTGAGCTCTGGTGAGTTTATTCCATTCATTTGGTGGTGGATAAAGCACGGTGGATTTATATGTTTAAAGAAGAAAATTTTCTGTTTGGGGTGTTGGACATTTTTTCTATACACTTATATACACAAATTTTATGGATTATTTTCACTGGAGACTTTTTTGCATTTAAAATGCTGGGACTTTTATACACGTATTTGTGATATTAATTTTGATATATTTTAGCGCATTCCAATTGCTGATTTTCTAAAAACTAGACTTTGCCTCGTTATCTGTGAATCTTGCCCAGAGTTCCCTTCAAAAGCTAACTTTTTTTTTTTTTTTTTTTTTTTATTAAGTGCTACAGAAGAATAAAATACATGGAGTGAAAACAATGGAACGCCATCGATAAAAAATACAGCGCAGTAAAGCCGTTGATTTGACTGAGACATATCGTAGAAGTCGATGGCGGTTTTGCTGGAGGTAAAAGACCGTGAATGAAGGCATCTAATAAACTTTTACAGGAGACTAAAAGCTCCGCAGAACGAGACATTAATCATTCCGAACACAGTTGAGTTTTTCCCCTGTCTGTTCCGGCGCAGACAATATAAATATTCTAAATATATACGTAGGAATGCGCTGTCAGAGCTTTGCGTACATCAAGGCCGCATACATTACGCCGTACCTGGCGTTTTCACCGCGGAGGTCTGCGATCCGCTCAGCCCACAATTAAGGCTTTTTTTTTTTTTCTGTTTTTGGCTGCGCGACTTTATACCCAAATTACATAATGATTTATTTTCAGAAATTGAGACTTTAAAGCTGTGAAATAAAAAATGATAGCGGCTTATGTTATGAAACAGAAATGAACAAAAGAGCAGATTTTGTTTTTCTGCAATAAAAAAAAAATACCGATTTGAAAAAAAAATTAAAAATAAAATGTGAGAATAAAAACGTTCTGATGCTTCTCTGCAGAGTTTTATACAAAGTAAACTTTTTTCTTTAGCGGTTGTTACTTTTTTATAACACGAGGGATTCGTCGGTTCAGGGAGCGGATGTGGATGGGAGAGAAGGGGGAAGAGTAGACGGGCGTAGATGAATTTATCGGCATTAACCCCTTCCAGAACTACTGTAGACTAGGGGGGTTGGCTTACTAAAGGCAAATAGACAAGGGAAGTTGTTTTTTACTGATACAATCATGGCCAAAATTC